ACTGCTGACTAATCAGTTATGTTGTCAGTAACGATTTGAATACCATCGATGGCTTCAGACAATCAAACATTGTTCTCACATTTTGTTCATTGATCAAGATCTGTCTGTTGCCATGGGGATCCAAAATTTATTAAAAAAAATACAAAAATATACATGTTGCACTACAACTTTAGCGACAAAAAGTATGATTTTCAAAATATTAATGATTACTTTGAGTTTATTTTGAGTGTACATGTATGCCTGATACAGCGTGGTCTTGACTTATGATATGTAGGTCTAACAACGTAGCTTCTCTCGTAAAACTGCCGTACGTCCACTTCAAAACCATCCACGTTTGTGAAACCTTAAACAAATGCTGCTATCTTTTTTCAGCCAGGTGCTAATTATAAGCTTTGGCACGTTTTAGCAAACACGCTGTCTTTCCATTTTGTGTGTGAATCTCTCAGTATGAACTCATTTTTGAAACAATGCCAAGGTCATGAACACATAATCAATGCTATATTCCCTCATGAAATCATAAAACAAACTGCCTTTGATTATTACTGATAGTGGTGTTTGTGTACTGTTGTTTGGTTGATATGGTAACGACATATGAAGAAAAAAGGTTATGTTATAAATGGCCTCTAGGAGGCGCTGTTCTCAAATTTCTCATTATTGTATATTTATGCTTAAACTTTTTCTGATAATAATGATTGCCCAAATAATTCATTGACTGACATTTTTTGTTTGTTTTTCGGGAGGGGGCATTTGGCCTGAATAAAAAAATAGATAAATAAATGAAACATTGAATATAAAAATGACACAAGATTAGAGATTCAGTAGTGAATACGGTCTTGCATTCTCTCTATATATTTTTTTAACCAACTAAATTCATAAAATATGTTGTATTGCATTGCAGATAAATACCAGCATTCCACATGTCAGACAAATAGTTGCAGCACAATCACAATTTCTTAATTTGTAATGTAAATAGTCTTGTCATGATTTATGTTATTCAGTAA